TAATCTCATTCTGCCAGTAGCAACAATATTATACTAACATCGTGGTTCTTAAATATACCAACAATGTTTTTTACTAATATCATTCTGCCAGTAGCAACAATATTTATACTAACATCATGGATCTTAAATATACCAACAATTATTTTTTACTAATATCATTCTGCCAGTAGCAACAATATCTATACTAACAGCATGGTTCTTAAATATACCAACAATTATTTTTTTACTAATATCATTCTGACAGTAGCAACAATATCTATACTAACAGCATGGTTCTTAAATATACCAACAATTATTTTTTTACTAATATCATTCTGACAGTAGCAACAATATTTATACTAACAGCATGGTTCTTAAATATACCAATAATTATTTTTACTAATATCATTCTGACAGTAGCAACAATATTTATACTAACATCGTGGTTCTTAAATATACCAACAATTGTTTTTTTTACTAATCTCATTCTGACAGTAGCAACAATATTTATACTAACAGCATGGTTCTGAAATATACCAACAATTATTTTTTACTAATATCATTCTGCCAGTAGCAACAATATTTATACTAACAGCATGGTTCTTAAATATACCAACAATTATTTTTTACTAATATCATTCTGACAATAGCAACAATATTTATACTAACAGCATGGTTCTTAAATATACCAACAATTATTTTTTACTAATATCATTCTGACAATAGCAACAATATTTATACTAACAGCATGGTTCTGAAATATACCAACAATTATTTTTTACTAATATCATTCTGCCAGTAGCAACAATATTTATACTAACATCATGGTTCTTAAATATACCAGACGAGACCTAATATACATCAATTGATAAAACCTGAAAATTAAAAAAGATTGAAGATTATCATAAACTAATCTGTATACATTTGAAAGGTATACAATGTATGTGGAAATTTTTTAAATATTCAAGGTAAACATATTCCTTATAGAAAGAAAAGGGTAGCTGCAAGTAAAGAACCAGGGTGGATCACAAAGGGTTTAAGAGATAAAATTAAAGAAAAGCATAATAAATGTAAATTGACTGGTATGATAGGAGATTTAGAAGATAAAGAAAGTTGGTGAAACAGGAAATTAGGACATCAAAATGGTTGTATGAGAAAAGGTGGATGAACATGTAAAAATTAACAGTAAGGATTTCTTTAAATACAATAAGGGTAAACAAAATATTAGGATAGGGATAGGACCCTTGAAGGATGATAAAGGAAGGCTTGTATCTGATGATTACAAGATGGCTTATGATGGCTTACAAGATGGTTATGAGATGGCTGGGTTATTAAATTTTGCTTTTTCTTTGGTTTTTACTAATGAAGATTTAAGCAGTATTCCACATCTTGATCAGTTGACAAATGGAAACAAGATCAAACAAGATGACTGCATTACTTCTGAGCTGGTTAAGAAAAAATTGGGAAGTTAAAAAATGATAAGATAATATTTCCTCAAAGGTTTTGAAGGAGGTTAAAGATTGGATATGTGAGCCACTTACTACTATATTTTGTCAGTCCTTGAATAGTGGGC